AACAACACATCCCAGGTGATCTACAGTTGCAATGCTGGAGTGGCATGCAACCATCTGTAACTCTGATCGTTTAACTGTTACTCTCTTACAAATGTAGTTCCTGTGTCAAAAAAAAACGTTATTGCGTTAGAAAATGGAGCAGCATTTCTGTTGCGTTTCTCCGTTTGTGCATGAGAAATAAAATAGGCGTGGTGAGCTCCTATCAATACCTACAGTAAGCTTGTCTGTCATCTCCTGGGATGCTCTTAATCCATTCCATTATACCCCGTTCTCTTTACCAGTCTTTGTAATATTTCCCCCATTTACCTGCCATTCTGACAGTAGAATCATGTCTAGCCAGTAAACTAGCGTGTCAAATCGGTTCGTTCCTCTGTCCTCACCTCTGCACGTCGCTCCCTCTCTCGTCTGACTTGTTAGCTAGCTAGCTACCTACCTACCCAGAGAGAAAGTACATTGTTCGATCCTCTCTCCCTCACTCTGAAACCCTTGCTGTGTTGGCTGTAATGATTGGTAGGACTGTGGGCAGTCAGGATACAAAGAACGAAGCAAATAAGAATTTTGAGGGAGAAGTATGTAGCTAGCAAGTGCTGCTGTTCGTTGTTGAATCTCACATGACTTCATGATGTGTGCGTGCTGCTCTCACTAACGTGACTCAGCTGAACTGCTGCCTGCAGCAGAAGCGCTCTCTGTCTCAACAGTACTACACACACACACACACACACACCCGCCCTTCTGCTTCTTCTTCTTCTTCTTCTTCGATTAGGTTTAACGGCGGTTGGCATCCAATAAATGTTGCATTACCGTCACCCACTAGACTTGAGTATAACTCCCTTCTACTGTGCTTATAACTACCCTACCATCTAACACTACACTCACAAAAAAATAAAAATAAATGTAATACAAAAAAGAATAAACACCACCCTACTCCTCTATTTAAATACATTTAGTCCTACTTCAGGCCAACAGCCTGAAAGGATGGGACACCACCACTTAACACACCCTGTAACTCTTCTGACATCAAGTCTCGCACATCCAAATACGTCTCTTGTAGCTGCCACTACAAGCTCAATGTTCTGCGACGTACATTCCATCCCTGCAGTACAGTTGATAACCATTGCTATAAATGCTAAAAATCCAATCTTACTGAAACATACACTACCTTTCAAAAGTTTGGGGTCACTTAGAAATGTCCTTGTTTTCGAAAGAAAAGCAATTTTTTTTGTCCTTTAAAATAACATCAAATTGATCAGAAATACAGTGTAGACATTGTTAATGTTGTAAATGGCTATTGTAGCTGGAAACGGCTGATTTTTAATGGAATATCTACATAGGCATACATAGGCCCATTATCAGCAACCATCAGTCCTGTGTTCCAATGGCATGTTGTGTTTGCTAATCCAAGTTGATCATTTAAAAAATCTAATTGATCATTAGAAAACCCTTTTGCAATTATGTTAGCACAGCTGAAAACTGTTGTGCTGATTAAAGAAGCAATAAAACTGGCCTTCTTGAGACTAGTTGAGTATCTGGAGCATCAGCAATTGTGGGTTCGATTACAGGCTCAAAATGGCCAGAAACAAATAACTTTCTTCTGAAACTCGTCAGTCTATTCTTGTTCTGAGAAATGAAGGCTATTCCATGTGAGAAATTGCCAAGAAACTGAAGATCTCGTACAACGCTGTGTACTACTCCCTTTACAGAACAGCGCAAACTGGCTCTAACCAGAATAGAAAGAGGAGTGGGAGGCCCCGGGGCACAACTGAGCAAGAGGACAAATACATTAGAGTGTCTAGTTTGAGAAACAGACGCCTCACAGGTCCTCAACTGGCAGCTTCATTGAATAGTACCCGCAAAACAACAGTCTCAACGTCAACAGTGAAGAGGCGACTCCAGGATGCTGACCTTCTAGGCAGAGTTGCAAAGAAAAATCCATATCTCAGACTGGCCAATAAAAAGAAAAGATTAAGATGGACAAAAGAACACAGAAACTGGACAGAGGAAGATTGGAAAAAGGTGTTATGGGCAGACGAATCGAAGTTTGAGGTGTTCGAATCACAAAGAATAACATTTGTGAGACGCAGACCAAATGAAAAGATGCTGGAGGAGTGCTTGTTGCCATCTGTCAAGCATGGTGGAGGCAATGTGATGGTCTGGGGGTTCTTTGGTGGTGGTAAAGTGGGAGATTTGTACAGGGTAAAAAGGATCTTGAAGAAGGAAGGCTATCACTCCATTTTGCAACCCCATGCCATACCCTGTGGATGGCGCTTGATTGGAGCAAATTTCCTCCTACAACAGGACAATGACCCAAAGCACAGCTCCAAACTCTGCAATAACTATTTAGGGAAGAAGCAGTCAGCTGGTATTTTGTCTATAATGGAGTGGCCAGCACAGTCACCGGATCTCAACCCTATTGAGCTGTTGAGGGAGCAGCTTGACCGTATGGTACGTAAGAAGTGCCCATCAAGCCAATCCAACTTGTGGGAGGTGCTTCAGCAAGCATGGGGTGAAATCTCTTCAGATTACCTCAACAAATTGACAACTAGAATGCCAAAGGTCTGCAAGGCTGTAATTGCTGCAAATGGAGGATTATTTGACGAAAGCAAAGTTTGAAGGACACAATTATTATTTCAATTAAAAATCATTATTTCTAACCTTGTCAATGACTACATTTCCTATGCATTTTGCTATATTTCCTATTCAAACTCATTGCATGTATGTTTTCATGGAAAACAAGGACATTTCTAAGTGACCCCAAACTTTTGAACGGTAGTGTATATCAGTTGTTGGTTTATCCCTCTGTACTGGTACAGATCTACCACTCACACCACTCCTCTCAGGATCCCTCCCCTTGATCCATCTTCCTCTACTTTCTTCACTGCCTCAGCATATGACAACTTCTGCACTACTCTATCCCTGGAAACCTTAACCTGCCTCTCTCACACAGGACATTTCTGATCCCCAGCCCCATGGGCACCCCTACAATATTTATTTATTTTTTAATTTAACCTTTATTTAACTAGGCAAGTCAGTTAAGAACAAATTCTTATTTACAATGACGGCCTACACCGGCCAAACCCGGACGACGCTGGGCCAATTGTGCGCCGCCCTATGGGACTCCCAATCACAGCCGGTTGTGATACAGCCTGGAATTAACACATACCACTACTTTCCCCAATGCTACACATTCCTTTGTCTCATGCCCTTCTGCACACTTCTCACACCTAGGAACCTTCCTCCTACACACTGCTGCCACATGCCCATAAGCTTGACACCTGTAACAACGTAATGTATTCGGCACAAAAGCTTGTACAGGATAACTTATATATCCTAACATCACTTTGTCGGGCAAAGACTCAACATCAAAACTCAAAAGAACAGACAACGACTCTTCTGTTTCACCACCGGCTCGCCCCTACCTTCCAATGACTATATGAATCTCCTTCCCCGCCACTCACTCACTCACTCACTCACTCACTCACTCACTCACTCAGCAACAGCAGCCTGCCTCACTGCCTGATAGTCAGCAGCAGGTGACAGGTCACAGGTCACAGTGAAATTAATAGATAATAAATAAAGAGAAATGCCATAGCAACCACGGTGCAATTTAGAAGTAGCCCAAAAACCCGCAAACCGCAACCAATACATTTTCTCCCGCAACATCATTTTCAAAGTAGACCAATTTTAGGGGAAGCCGCGAACATGGCAATCCTGTCTGTGCTGCTAAAACTGCAGCTCAACCCACACTGTAAACACACCCGCTATTCTCTTGAATATTATATTAGGGGGCGTGTACTTCCAGGTATGAACTAAAATAAAACTAAAAATTGGATACATTTTGTGTTATTTGTTTTCTTACACTCAATGCCCAATTTGGAAACCATAAACGAGAAAACAAGTTGATATCCAATTTTCGTTTTGGGTACTAGAAAAATTATAAAACATTCATTCTTGTTTGGCCTTGCCTAGATGAAAGGAAATAGGAAATACCCATAAGCATACAGACCCTTTTTGTTTTGCGTTTGATGTTTATGTTGCAAAGCTATAGACTCTTTTCCAGTACACATAGCCTATTACTTCTAAACAAAATGACTTATTTGGGTTCTCAAACGCTTACAATGATGTTTTTGATTCTTGCTTGAACAGTCGCTAAGATTATATTTGGTTGTGATCTTTGCAAAATAACTATTTTGGGCAGCAGTTGTTAGCTATAATGGTAACGCTCATTGATATAGCCTGTAGCAAAAGCTAGCCGAAGTGCCATTTTACTGGAGGAAGTTGAAGTGTTTTTTAAGTATAATGCAGTTGATTTGCGATGATGTCACACACATTATATTAAGCAGGACATGCACACGAGCCTTAAAATCCAATTAGAATACAAAAGTAGTGTGAAATGCACTCATAAGCAACATGTAAATAGAGGCTTCTTTTGCTGGCATTCTATAAGAACTCACCTATTGTTCTGCCACCAACTTGCACGCATCACCCTCGTGCGGCAATGTTTGCAAACACATTTGTTAACCCAAGTTTGTATATTTTTTTATATGTTTTTTATTTCATCTTTATTTAACCAGGTAACCCAGTTGAGAACAAGTTCAAATTTACAACTGCGACCTGGCCAAGATAAAGCAAAGCAGTGCGATAAAAACAACAAACACAGAGTTACATATGGAATAAACAAAACGTACAGTCAATAACACAATAGAACATCTATCTATACAACATGTGATGGATGGCATGGTTCATTCTTATTTTTGAATGAATCCATTGCACAACGTGAATGCTGATCGTAGCCTAGCGGATAAGAGCGTTGGGCCAGTAACAGAAAGATTGCTAGTTCGAATCCCCGGGCTAACTAGGTGAACAATGTGTCCTTGAGCAAGGCACTTAACCCCAGTTGCTCTGGCTAAGAGCGTCTGCTAAGTGACGAAACATTTTTGGTTGCTGTCACTTAAATGGGTGTTTCCTCTGGAGTTGACATATTTACAACTTGACAGACAGGGATGGAGAAGAGAACAGCGCCCTCGTCGAGCAGCATCATACAGTACTATACCGTGACAGACCGACTGCAACTGGGACAGCAAAGTGTGTCGTTCTTCAACTTCTATTGACGGAAGAAAAAAAGCTTTTTTTGTGTGTCCTTTGACGGACGTGATGAGCGGCAGGGTTGGCGACCTCAGCCCGAAGCAGGCTGGTGCATTGGAAGAGGTGAATATCTGTATTGTAGGCTACGTTTCTGTATATGTGTGGCAATTGTTTGTGTTTGTCGATGTGACTGACAATCGTCGACGCTGTTGAGAAAAGTAACATCTGGAACCTTCATATCTTTCCCACCAAGGCAAGCCTGTTTACAGATTGTTGGCTGCAGTCCTCGTGCAAGGTTATCTGTAGAAAACATATGGCTACAGTTAATTGTAACTACCAATAGAATATTATTTCATCATGTCGTTCTCCCTGGAGTTTCTCTGTAAGGGCGTTTTCACACACAGTTCTGAGCTATAGGCCTAGTTTTTAATTTGGTTTCACATTGGCAAACGTCAAACTAAAATGCCTAAAGAAAAACCACGTGTTCGTGCAAGTCATTTGTTTATTGGAGAAGAATGCTCACGTTAAATCAATCTATGATGATCAAAAAGCGTAACTGCTGTGTCCCAAACTTCATATTACTTTTACCTTGGTCTTCCAACAACATGCAGGAGAAACAGCGCAAAAGCTGCTCCAACTGCGACGTGAATAGGCTATAATTCCCGACCCTAATCTGCATCGCCTGCGCACGTAAATGCGCTGCTACTCACAGAGATATCAAATTACTGTTGGGAGTGTAGGCGAGAGCACCGAGGTCAAATTAGTTTCATATTGGATATTCGATTTTCTGTCGCCAATAGCTATTGAACCAACCATGCCATGACTATGAACATATCTGAGAATACTCTCTAGTGGACTTATTATTATGATTTATAACCTATGATTGAAAAGAGGCATTTCCCTCAGAAGTCACACTATTGAATTTATTTTGACCTATGCGCTTTGTTTAATGTGTAAGAATAGATTAACTTCCACACAGACTTTGAGGTGGCTTGCATGTGATTTTAGACAAGTGTCAGTGATTTTCTTATAACAATTAATTTCATATAATGTGCTTTCATTCATTTCTACAACTAAACACTTGTCCATCACTAACACACCTTTGGCCTCTCTCTCTCTCTCTCTCTCTCTCTCTCTCTCTCTCTCACTGCCACCCCATTTCATCCTTGGGCAGTTTCGAGAGAGGATTCAGGACGTTCTTCCTCTACTTCCTGCTCATCATGACCACTTCCTGTTGCGCTGGCTCAGAGGTGAGGCAAACTAAAGTTGGTGGGAGACTGAGGCTAACTATAACCGCCTGTATCTTCATCATGGCATGGTGGTAAGCTTGGAGTTGGAATAATATAATATTCTGCTATGTGAGCTGTAAGGCTGTTAATAAGACCATGCTTGGCTATGGACAAACTCTCAGGTCTAGCTGGGTTACTGGGATAGGCTACTGAAGAGGTCACATTGATGGTCACATTGAACACGCAGGCACAGAGATTGTATTTTCAACGGAACAATTTATGCAGTGGAAACCTGTATTTCTCCATAGTTTTGCAACACAGAAGTAACCAACAGCTTTTCAAATAGTAACCGACCTTTAGGGAACTTACAACACTTGCATACGGTAAATGCCTTCAGTTGTCGGTTGGGGGTTGGGGGGAAGATTTAGAGAAAGAGAGAAACAATTTAGAAACCAAGCTGTTTAGCTTGGACATGGATGTTGTTAGAGTGGTCTGTAGTCGAGTGACAGGTTGTAGTAACACAGATAGTGACAGGTTGTAGCAACACAGAGAGTGACAGGTTATAGTAACACAGAGAGTGACAGGTTATAGCAACACAGAGAGTGACAGGTTGTAGTAACACAGAGAGTGACAGGTTGTAGCAACACAGAGAGGGACAGGTTGTAGTAACACAGAGAGTGACAGGTTATAGCAACACAGAGAGTGACAGGTTGTAGCAACACAGAGAGTGACAGGTTATAGCAACACAGAGAGTGACAGGTTGTAGCAACGCAGAGAGTGACAGGTTGTAGTAACGCAGAGAGTGACAGGTTGTAGCAACACAGATAGTGACAGGTTGTAGCAACACAGATAGTGACAGGTTGTAGCAACACAGAGAGTGACAGGTTGTAGCAACACAGAGAGTGACAGGTTGTAGTAACACAGAGTGACAGGTTGTAGCAACACAGAGAGTGACAGGTTATAGCAACACAGAGAGTGACAGGTTATAGCAACACAGAGAGTGACCTGGTTATAGCAACACAGAGAGTGACAGGTTGTAGCAACACAGATAGTGACAGGTTGTAGCAACACAGAGAGTGACAGGTTGTAGCAACACAGAGAGTGACAGGTTGTAGTAACACAGAGTGACAGGTTGTAGCAACACAGAGAGTGACAGGTTGTAGTAACACAGAGAGGGACAGGTTGTAGCAACACAGAGAGTGACAGGTTGTAGTAACACAGAGAGTGACAGGTTATAGCAACACAGAGAGTGACAGGTTATAGCAACACAGAGAGTGACAGGTTGTAGCAACACAGAGAGTGACAGGTTATAGTAACACAGAGAGTGACAGGTTATAGCAACACAGAGAGTGACAGGTTATAGTAACACAGAGAGTGACAGGTTAGAGCAACACAGAGAGTGACAGGTTGTAGCAACACAGAGAGTGACAGGTTGTAGCAACACAGAGAGTGACAGGTTGTAGCAACACAGAGAGTGACAGGTTGTAGCAACACAGAGAGTGACAGGTTGTAGCAACACAGAGAGTGACAGGTTGTAGCAACACAGAGAGTGACAGGTTGTAGCAACACAGAGAGTGACAGGTTGTAGCAACACAGAGAGTGACAGGTTGTAGCAACCCAGAGAGGGACAGGTTGTAGTAACACAGAGAGGGACAGGTTGTAGCAACACAGAGAGGGACAGGTTTGTAACACAGAGAGTGACAGGTTTAGTAACACAGAGAGGGACAGGTTGTAGCAACACAGAGAGTGACAGGTTATAGCCAGGACACACAGAGAGTGACAGGTTATAGCAACACAGAGAGGTGAAGGTTGTAGTAAACACAGAGAGTGACAGGTTGTAGCAACACAGAGAGGGAAGGGTTGTAGTAACACAGAGAGGGACAGGTTGTAGCAACACAGAGAGTGACAGGTTGTAGTAACACAGAGAGGGACAGGTTGTAGCAACGCAGAGAGTGACAGGTTGTAGTAACACAGAGAGGGAAAGGTTGTAGTAACACAGAGAGGGACAGGTTGTAGTAACACAGAGAGGGACAGGTTATAGTAACACAGAGAGGGACAGGTTGTAGCAACACAGAGAGTGACAGGTTATAGCAACACAGAGAGTGACAGGTTATAGCAACACAGATAGTGACAGGTTGTAGCAACACAGAGAGGGACAGGTTGTAGTAACACAGAGAGTGACAGGTTGTAGTAACACAGAGAGGGACAGGTTGTAGCAACACAGAGAGGGACAGGTTATAGCAACACAGATAGTGACAGGTTGTAGCAACACAGATAGTGACAGGTTGTAGCAACACAGAGAGTGACAGGTTGTAGCAACACAGAGAGTGACAGGTTGTAGTAACACAGAGTGACAGGTTGTAGCAACACAGAGAGTGACAGGTTATAGCAACACAGAGAGTGACAGGTTATAGCAACACAGAGAGTGACCTGGTTATAGCAACACAGAGAGTGACAGGTTGTAGCAACACAGATAGTGACAGGTTGTAGCAACACAGAGAGGGACAGGTTGTAGCAACACAGAGTGACAGGTTTGTAGTAACACAGAGTGACAGGTTGTAGCAACACAGAGAGTGAACAGGTTGTAGTAACACAGAGAGGGACAGGTTGTAGCAACACAGAGAGTGACAGGTGTAGTAACACAGGAGTGACAGGTTGTAGCAACACAGAGAGTGACAGGTTATAGCAACACAGAGAGTGACAGGTTGTAGCAAACACAGAGAGTGACAGGTTATAGCAACACAGAGAGTGACAGGTTATAGCAACACAGAGAGTGACAGGTTGTAGCAACACAGAGAGTGACAGGTTGTAGCAACACAGAGAGTGACAGGTTGTAGCAACACAGAGAGTGACAGGTTGTAGCAACACAGAGAGTGACAGGTTGTAGTAACACAGAGAGTGGACAGGTTGTAGCAACACAGAGAGTGACAGGTTGTAGCAACACAGAGAGTACGGTTAGCACACGAGGTGAGCAGGTATAACACAGAGAGTGACAGGTTGTAGCAACACAGAGAGTGACAGGTTGTAGAACACAGAGAGTGACAGGTTATAGCAACACAGAGAGTGACAGGTTTAGTAACACAGAGAGTGACAGGTTAGTAGCAACCACAGGAGAGGGACAGGTTGTAGCAACACAGAGAGGTGACAGGTTGTAGCAACACAGAGAGTGACAGGTTGTAGCAACACAGAGAGTGACAGGTTGTAGCAACCAGAGAGTGACAGGTTGTAGCAACACAGAGAGTGACAGGTTTGTAGCAAACAAGAGAGGAAGGTTGTAGCAACACAGAGAGTGACAGGTTGTAGCAACCCAGAGAGGGACAGGTTGTAGTAACACAGAGAGGGACAGGTTGTAGCAACACAGAGAGGGACAGGTTGTAGTAACACAGAGAGTGACAGGTTATAGTAACACAGAGAGGACAGGTTGTAGCAACACAGAGAGTGACAGGTTATAGCAACACAGAGAGTGACAGGTTATAGCAACACAGAGAGTGACAGGTTGTAGTAACACAGAGAGTGACAGGTTGTAGCAACACAGAGAGGGAGAGGTTGTAGTAACACAGAGAGGGACAGGTTGTAGCAACACAGAGAGTGACAGGTTGTAGTAACACAGAGAGGGACAGGTTGTAGCAACGCAGAGAGTGACAGGTTGTAGTAACACAGAGAGGGAAAGGTTGTAGTAACACAGAGAGGGACAGGTTGTAGTAACACAGAGAGGGACAGGTTATAGTAACACAGAGAGGGACAGGTTGTAGCAACACAGAGAGTGACAGGTTATAGCAACACAGAGAGTGACAGGTTATAGCAACACAGATAGTGACAGGTTGTAGCAACACAGAGAGGGACAGGTTGTAGTAACACAGAGAGTGACAGGTTGTAGTAACACAGAGAGGGACAGGTTGTAGCAACACAGAGAGGGACAGGTTATAGCAACACAGAGAGGGAGAGGTTGTAGTAACACAGAGAGGGAGAGGTTGTAGTAACACAGAGAGGGACAGGTTGTAGTAACACAGAGAGTGACAGGTTGTAGTAACACAGAGAGGGACAGGTTGTAGTAACACAGAGAGTGACAGGTTGTAGCAACACAGAGAGGGAGAGGTTGTAGTAACACAGAGAGGGACAGGTTGTAGCAACACAGAGAGGGACAGGTTATAGCAACACAGAGAGGGACAGGTTATAGCAACACAGAGAGGGAGAGGTTGTAGCAACACAGAGAGGGAGAGGTTGTAGTAACACAGAGAGTGACAGGTTGTAGCAACACAGAGAGGGAGAGGTTGTAGTAACACAGAGAGGGAGAGTATTGTTTGTATTCTTTAGTTCTTTAGTATTTTACATTTGTGTGACTGTCATTTTCTGTTAGTGTACCAGTGTTTTGTTACTTGTCATGTTTTGTGTTTGTGGACCCCAGGAAGAGTAGCTGCTGCTTGTTCTAGATGGGACTGGACTGAACTCACACAGGCTCTCAGTGAATCATTGTTATCATTGTTATCTAGGGCAAAGCACATTAAACCTGTAAAACAGGTTTCAAGGGAGAGAGGGCAATTATCATGGTTCACTGATGTTCTTTAAAAGCTGAGCGATCCCATGGCACTTATCGTAAGAGTAGGGGTGTTAACCCCCGGTGTCCTGGCTAAATTCCCAATCTGGCCCTCATACCATCATGGCTACCTAATCATCGCCATTTTACAATTGGCTCATTCATCCCCCCCTCCTCTCCCCTGTAACTATTCCCCAGGTCGTTGCTGTAAATGAGAATGTGTTCTCAGCCAACTTACCTGGTAAAATAAGGGTTAAAAAGAGTGGAAGGACATTTGAATCCAAGGCAAATTATTGCACCAGTCACCTGCTGCTGTGTGAAAGAGCCATGACATGGGAAATCAATGTGACGTTTTGTTTAGAGAATAAAGATGTTTTATTTATTTTTTATTTAACCTTTATTTAACTAGGCAAGATATGCAGCTGTGTTACTGTAGACTTCATCCAACAGATTTCAGGGGACAGACACTATTGTGACTCGTGTGACAGAAACACAGGGTGAACCCAGAGGTCGTTGACCTTCTTCGTCTTCGTCTTCTTCTTCTTCTTCTTCTTCTTCTTCTTCTTTCTTTTCTTTTCTTTTCTTTTTCTTTTTCTTCGTCTTCGTCTTCGTCTTTTTCTTCTTCTTTTCTTCTTCTTCTTCTTCTTCTTCTTCTTCTTCTTTGTCTTCGTCTTCTTCTTCTTCTTCTTCTTCTTCCACGCAAACATTGAACAAGTCTGGCTTTGCATAGCAACATCACTCAGAGGTAATGGTCAGTGATGTGTCTGTCTAGACCAGGTATGGGCAACTGGGCAACTGGCCCACGGCCCCCCATTTATAGGCCTGTGGATCTAAATGTAAATCGTTACAGCTACTAGTGCTGAGCGATTTGTGCTTTTTTAGGTTAGTTCGGCTTCGTTTTGATTATACAAAAAATAATCACGGTTTTCAATTTCTGTTTCAGGTTTTTTTTTATACATTAAATGCACTATGCATTATGTGGGTTGAATGCTGTAACGACACAGAATAAAGTAATTAATAAAGTCCCATGATGGTAGTGACTGTCCATTATGTTTATTACTTATTAACCTTCACATTACTTTACTTTAATCAAATATTTCAGTTGTTGTGTATATTACATTTGTTTTATTTGATGACTTTAATTCCAAGTCATCATCAAATCTCTGCTGCCTATGCTGTCTGACAAAATCACTATTTTTTTCAAAGTAAATAAGGCATACTTTTATAACTGCTGAATACTAACTATCAATGGGCGGATCACTTTTGTCAAGTCGCCTTTCAAAGTGTGTTGCATTATGGGGATAAAAATTGTCCGACTTGCGCCTACATGTCGACTGCATGAACTTTACAAAAATCATGTGATCAAAGGAACATTTAGTTTTGACTGCAAGTTTCTACAGTTGCTCTTCACCAGCTTCACCCTGCAGGCTTCGCCAGCATTATGGGTAGCTCTATTGTCAACCCATCATTAGGGTGGTTTTGTTTGACCCACAGGAACATGACCAAAGATGTCACTCAAACAGGAACCAACTTTGTCGCAATTCATGTATACAGTGGATATGTACAAATGAATGTGATATTTGAGTCTCTCTCTCTCTCTCACCAATTGATTGTACTATACACACACATATTTTCAGGTTGTGAGTGTTTGATATGGGGTTGGAGACATGTTTATTCTGACATTAAAGAAATAAAGAAACACTTTTATAACACTGAGCCTTGCCGTTGGAACACCATATCAGTGTCTGTCACAGATGCACCTCCCCTGACTTCACTCCTAGACCTTTGTCTACAGTTGGTTGCTTTCGCCTTACCACTCAAAGGAGCCCAGTCACTTAGATCATGTATTTTCCAGTAGAGACCGAGAAAAACAAATTGGTACAATTTAAGGCCGGGTGGTGGACAATGGTGCAGGCACCGGGAATGGGGGTGTGAGCGTGTGGGTCTGGGTAGGTGGGATGTGGTCGTCGTCTGTGAGTTGTTTGTGTGTATCGGTTTGTATCTGGAGTGGGAAAAAATTTAATAAATGGGGGGAGAAAAAAAGGAATTTAAATAATTGAATTGACATCAGTCAATTAGTTGTTTAATAACCAACATTTCGGTTAATCGCTCAGCACTAATAGTTACCTGTCAAAAATAGTAATCATGAAAACGTTACTTTTGGATTACCCAGACTCAGTAACGTAATCTGATTACTTTCAGATACTTTTAGAGGACTTTCCCCTTAAGAGGCATTAGAATAACATAAAAATATATATATTACCAATAGAACAACGTCTAATGCAGGATAAATCAATGTTAGCGTTTACATAGCTGGCCATAAATGGATGTTGCATTTTACTTTATGGGTTATTTAAGCTTCATACCTATTGCTTTCTACTTCAACACAGATAATGATACGATTAGGCTCCATCTTCACATGAAAAACCCAAGTCTGTCAGATTTCAAGTCATTCCAATTCATTAACTACCCCTTGTTCTTCAAGAATAGGACTTGGAAATATAGATTAGTCAAGTTGTTTTACCTGAACATAACCCAAAAACGAAGGACTTATTAGCCTACTCTGTTATGTTTATTCTGTCGTCATGGAGATTGGGCTCATTGTTTTGAGTTTAAAAAATAAATGCTGCTCTTATGGAATGACATGCTTTGAGCACTATCGAGAAGTGCTATTTGCATGTGAAAAAATGTATGCCATATGCTGCATTTGCTATAGGCCTTTTGTTTAAGTTTTTGTTGGTGACACTTTGATATCTCAATTATTTGCAGCTGTTTAGGTCTATCAAAAGTGTGCAAGTTAGAGCATGTATCCGTTAGGCCTATGGACTTTTTTTTGAACCAGCACAAATTAGATTACGCAATAAAAGCCTCACTCGTGGTCTTCTTAAATTAAAACTAGTTTTTGACAGTATGTATGGAGCACAAAACCACGGAGGAGTTTAGAAAGAGAGGAACTCCCTCAAACTTCTGTTCCATTGGCTGAGATCTGCACTATGCAGCTGTTGCAAGAGCACATTTTCACTGGCTGTCAACTGGTCGCGATAACAATGATTTATATGCAGCTTAAACTTCAATTTGTCACGATCGTTGGTTAGAGAGGACCAAGGCGCAGCGTGTTGAGCGAACATACTTTAATAGTAAAGTGCAAACACGAATACAAAACAATAAACGATACGTAACGTCCTCAGACAATGACTGACAAGGAACAAAAACCCACAAACACAAGGTGAAAACAGACATTATAAATATGGCTCCCAATCAGAGACAACGAGCCAAACAGCTGACACTCGTTACCTCTGATTGGGAGTCACTCATCCAAACAAAGAAATACAACCACATAGAACAACCCAACCAAACAGAACACAACGAAACGAACACACCCTGGCTCAACATACAAAGTCCCGGAGCCAGAGCGTGACACAATTCAACCATTATTGGGTTAAAATACACCTACTGTATACATTTGTGAACAGCCATCTACAACAACCTCGAGTAAGGTGTAAATAAATGAGGGAGCAGCAGGATTCACATCATTGATATGGAGATATCAATAATAGTCAAAGTGATATCTAACGCCTCTAGGCTACACCATTGTGTAATGAAAACTCAGGGAGAAAAAGGTGTAGATTCACGCAGAGCGCGGCAGGAATCGTGGTCACAGGCAGGCAATGGTCATACACAGGAAGGCAAATCAAAACTAGGACTGAAGACTATTACTGGTTCTCACAAACAAGCTATGAAAAGGCTTAGTAGAGTCAAAACGAACAATACCTCACAAGGCACAAACAGAAAGAACTGAACTAAATAAGGAGCTGATGAGACCAGGTGAGTAACTAACACAGGTGAAATCAATGAACAAAAATGAAAGACAGGGCTACGTTCAAGAACACAAGATTGACTAAGAAAATACAAAACCTTACAGTACCCCCCCCCCCCCCAGGGAGGCTCCTGACAACCCAACGGCACCGGAGGGTGGAGTTGGCGTTTGGGGGAGCAGAGGCGGCCGCCTACCTCGGGGGCGAGGTCCGGCAGGCTGGTTCGACACGGTCGTGGACTGACCTGATGTTCTGCGTCGAGGCTGATGTCCAGTGGGTCTGTTCGGGGGTCGACCCCGAGGACGGTTATAATAATAATAATATGCCATTTAGCAGACGCTTTTATCCAAAGCGACTTACAGTCATGCGTGCATACATTTTTGTGTATGGGTGGTCCCGGGGATCGAACCCACTACCTTGGCGTTACAAGCGCCGTGCTCTACCAGCTGAGCTACAGAGGACCATGGTGGAATGCCTGAATTATCTCTGGGCCGTGGATGTCCTGGTCAGGGATCCTAGACCGGTCTTCAGGCCCATAACCTTCCCAGTCCACTAGATAGTGGATGCGACCGTTCAGGCGTTTGGAATCAAGGATGGCCTGAATGGCGTAGGCAGGTTCCCCTCCGATGTCCAACGGTGGGGGCACACTGCGGGTTGAGACTGGAGGATGAAGAGGACTGTAGGTGACTGGTTTTAACAGAGACACATGGAAGGACAAGGAGATTTTATGCTGACGGGGTAATTGGGGGCGGTACGTGACAGGGTTGATGCGATGGGTTATCTTGAAGGGACCAATGAAGCGAGGACAGAACTTTGCAGGGGAGGCGGAGCCGGATGTCTCTGGTAGAGAGCCACACACGCTGTCCGGGGTGAAAGAGTGGCGTAGGTCGGCGGCGTCTGTCGGCAAAGCGTTTCTGGGGGTTGGTAACCAAGGACACACTGAAACGGAGTAAGGCGGAGGGATGAAGGCATGAGTGAGTTCTGAGCGTATTCGGCCCAGGCCATATACCAACTCCAGTCGTGTGGAGAGGCAGAACATTGTTGGCGGAGGTACTTCCCTATTTCTTGGTTCAGGCGTTCCGTCTGCCCATTGGTCTGGGGATGGAACCCGGAGGAGAGGCTGAGGGCGACCCCCAGTCGGTCACAGAAGGCTCGCCACACCCGGGAGACAAACTGGGGCCCGCAGTCAGAGACGATGTCCTCCGGAATCCCATACAGACGGAACACCTGCTGGAACATACACTCAGCCAATTCCATGGTGTTTGGTAAATGAGGAAGAGGAACCAGACGACACATTTTTGAAAAACGGTCTACTATGACAAGGATGGTGGTGTTACCAGAGGATTCAGGAAGGTCTGTGATGAAGTCAACAGCTATGTGGGACCAGGGTCTGTGAGGGATTGGCAAAGGTTGAAGCTTACCGGAAGGGAGATGACGAGGGCTTTTGTTTTGGGCGCAGACTGGACAGGAGAGTACGTAATCCCTTACGTCGGATGCCAGTGAGGACCACCAGAATTTACGGGCTAGAAGTTTGGTGGTTCGTGTAATGCCCGGATGTCCTAACCCCAAGGATGTGTGACACCATTGCATCAGTTGGGGTCTAACAGCTGCTGGTACGTAACTCTTCCCAGCTGGTGTCTCAGGAGGAGCTGGGTTTGAGGTTAGGGCTATTTGTATGGCAGAGTGAACCTCCCACAGTACCGGTCCCATAATGCAAGAGGAAGGAAGAATGGGTGTAGGGTCTAAGTTACTGGTCGGAAGGTCAAACTGGCGGGAGAGAGCATCAGCTTTTACGTTGATCTTTCCAGGGATGTAAGTAACATGAAAATGGAAGCATGTGAAGAAGAGAGCCCAGCAGGCTTGTCTGGAGTTTAACCTCATGGCCCCTCTGATATATTCCAGATTACGATGATCTGTTAGGATGAGAAAGGGATGTTGTGCGCCATCCAACCAGTGGCGCCACTCCTCGAGGGCCAGCTTGATGGCGAGGAGTTCTCTGTTCCCCACATCGTAATTCCTCTCAGCGGAGGATAACTTCCCGGAGAAGAAGGCACAGCGATGTGATTTTGGAGGTGTTCACACCCACTGAGAGAGTATGGCTCCTACACCTACTTCGGAGGCATCCACCTCCAGGGTGATAGGAAGGGTCGGATCAGGTTGGCGAAGGACAGGAGCTGAGGTAAAGAGGCGTTTCAAGGTGTTGAAAGCAGTCAGTGCGGTATCAGTCCATTGAAGGGTCCTTTGGCTGGTAAGGGCAGTGAGGGGAGTGGCAGTAGAACTGAAGTTCCGAATTAACCGGCGATAGAAGTTGGAGAACCCAATGAAACGTTGGAGTTCCTTAAGGATGGTGGGTTTGGGCCAGTTACTGACGGCGGTGACTTTGTTCTCATCCATGCTGACCCCTCCAGGTGTCAGTACGAAACCGAGGAAGTTTACCGAGGTACATGGAAGGTGCTCTTTTCAGTCTTCACATAAAAGTTATGGTCAAGGAGCCGTTGAAGAACCCTTTGTACATGCTGTATGTGTTCCTTCAGGGAGTGGGAGTAAATCAGGATGTCATCAATGTAGACGATGAGAAAGCGGTTGATCACATCATGGAAAACCTAGTTCCTAAAGGATTGGAAGACGGCGGGGCGTTAGTAAGGCCGTAGGGCATGACCAGGTATTCGTAGTGCCCTCGTGCGGTGATAAAGGCTGTCTTCCATTCGTCACCTTCACGTATACGGACAAGGTTATATGCACTTCGCAGGTCAAGTTTTGTATAGATGTTGGCGCGGCCCACTTGTTCAAGGGTCACTGGGATCAGAGGAAGAGGGAAACGGTTCTTGACCGTGACGTCATTCAGGGAACGGTAATCAATACATGAACGGAGACCACCGTCCTTTTTTCCAATGAAGAAGAAGCTGGACGCAGCCGGGGAAGAAGAAGGACGACGAATGAAACCGTTTGCGTGTTTCACCAATGTCGTTCTCCATTGCCTCATTTTCCGGGATAGATAGGGGGTAAACACGGCCCTTCGGTGGGGACACTCCAGGGAGTAAGTCAATAGCACAGTCCCCTGGGCGATGTGGTGGCAGAGTGGAGGCTTTGATTTTGCTGAAGACATTGCTGTACTGGGCGTATTCAGATGGTATAGTGGGTGGCACTGCAGAGGCAGAGTCCTCAATGGTGGTGGCTCTGCAGGGTAGGCTGAGACAACTGGTGAAGCAGGTAGAAGACCAGGACAGTAGTTCAGAATTGGGCTGCCTGTCTAAATGCAGCCGTTGTGTATTGACCATTCAGAGCTGATTGTGTTCTGTGGGTGTTACTGAGTAGGCTGATAACCCATTTCATGGATGCACAGTCCATAGGTTAGGCTGTAAAGTGCAACTTGAATATTCAATATGCACAATATGCTGACTGGGAAGTGATTTCCTAACAGTCAAAGTCCTGCAATAAGAGCATTACAGTGCAACCATTTTACCCTCATATAAACCTTAAGTATTTTGCTGTGTGACCTGGAATTTTGATATTAGGACCACCAGTGCGCTAGATAAATTACGGATTTTAGCTTTATAACCTGAAATATTTTTCATGTGCTCCTAAAGTTATTTGTGTGCGCCTACATTTTTCACCTTAAGCACACGTGCTCCTTTTAAAAAAGGTCCGCTTTAGAGCCCTGAAGAGCTAAGACAAGGGGTTGGAACCTCATTTATTTTCCAGTCGTTTCGTTCTGAATAGAACCATAATTTTCCCCCAAAAAGTACAGGTTTATATCATTCCTTTATGTTCCTTTTTAAACCTCTGAAATCACTTTTTTTTTTACATTTAGGTCGACATTAAATGACTTCACCAATCAGTGGATAGAGCAGCTTGCTATATGGAGCGGGCAAGCTATAGCCTAGTTGTTTACGTGTGCGATGGACAGAGTGTAGGGCGCGAGATGTGACTGACATTTTGCTGGTGGGGAGAGAGGGTGGAGGAGGAGGCTTGGCTTGAAGCGCTGGGTATCTTGTTATGACATGCCTTATCTGAATTAGGCCCCACAGAATTATACCTAGTGCGGCTTCTATCGAGGAACTTTTAATGTCTTTGAAATTCAGAGATTTGGCTTAATGTTGGACCATGTTTTGTTGTGTTACAGCCTGAATTCAAAATGGATAAAAAAAAAAAAAAGTCTCACCCATCTACACACAAGACCCCATAATGACAAGGTGAAAACATGTTTTTAGAAATTCTTGCAGATTATTGAAAATGAAATACAGAAATATCTAATTTACATAAGGCTTCACACCCCTGAGTCAATACATGTTAGAATCACCTTTGGCAGTAATTACAGCTGTGAGTCTTTCTGGGTAAGTCTCGAAGAGCTTTCCACACCTGGATTGTGCAACATTTGCCCATTATTATTTTCAAAATTCTTCAAGCTCAAATTAGTTGTTGATCATTGCTAGACAACCATTTTCAGGTCTTGCCATACATTGTCAAGTAGATTTAAGTCAAAATGGTAACTCCGCCACTCAAGAACATTCACTGTCTTCTTGGTAAGCAACTCCAGTGTAGATTTGGCCTTGTGTTTTAGGTGATTGTCCTGCTGAAAGGTGATTTCATCTCCCAGTGTCTGGTGGAAAGCAGACTGAACCAGGTTTTCCTCTAGGATTTTGCCTGTGCTTAGCTCTATTGCATTTATTTTTTATCCTGAAAAACTCCCCAGTCCTTAACGATTACAAGCATACCCATAACATGATGCAGCCACTACTATGCTTGAAAATATGGAGAGTGGTACTCAGTAATGTGTTGTATTGGATTTTCCCCAAACATAACACTTTGTATTCAGGATAAAAAGTGAATTGCTTTGCAACACTTTTTGCAGTATTACTTTGGTGCCTTGTTGCAAACAGGATGCATGCTTTGGAATACTTCGATTTTGTACAGGCTTCCTTCTTTTCATTCTGTCGATTAGGTTAGTATTGTGGAGTAACTACAATGTTGTTGATCCATCCTCAGTTTTCTCCTATCACAGCCATTCAACTCTGTAACTGTTTTAAAGTCACCATTGGCCTCATGGTAAAATCCCTGAGCGGTTTCCTTCCTCTCCGGCAACTGAGTTAGGAAGGACGCCTTTATCTTTGTAGTGACAGGGTGTATTTATACACCATCCAAAGTGTAATTAATAACTTCACCATGCTCAAAGGGATATTCAATGTCTGCTTTTTTTATTTTTATTTTTATTTTTTTATCCATCTACCAATAGGTGCCCCTTCTTTGTGAGGTATTGGAAAACCTCCCTGGTCTTTGTGGTTGAATCTGTGTTTGTAATTCACTCGTCAACTGAGGGACCTTACAGATAATAGCATTTGTGGGGTACAGAGATGAGGTAGTCATTCAAAAATCATGTTAAACACTATTATTGCAATATAGGGAATAGCATGCCATTTGGGACACAGCCAGTGACTGACCGCTGCTGTCAGCTGGCCACTTAATCACCTTAGCTAGAGTATTAGATAGGCTGCTTAGCGTCCCCTCCTCTCCCTTCTAGGTCAGTACTTCTGGGTCAGTACTTCTGGGTCAGTACTGAACAGTGCTGCTACTGTAAGAGGGAGGTCTGATGTAAGGTTTTGGCACACAGTGGAAGGAAGCCTCAGGCAAGCGACTGGCTGCTTTTAATCTCTTAAAGGACCCTTCAAGCTGGAATCCTTCATGGTGAAACAGCCACGTCTGTTTGCAATATTACAACAACAAAGAAGTTACTGCAAACAACCAACACTGTTTTTTCCCCTCTGATCATTGCACAAGCGATAGAAGAGCACAAGATGTGCAGCAATTGTTTTTATCGCGATGCTGCTCAGCTTGGCAACAAAAACAATAACAATGGTGGTGGGGCGGCCATTGGTGCGGATTCCCATCTTTAATGGAGGCTAGTTATAGTCTGTTGTCATGGTGACACCACCAGCCCTGCCCTGCTCATTGGCTGAAACCCGGAGTGAGGAATAAATGCAATGTCCGGGTATATAAAGAGAGATGGAAACCAGGATGTCAGCCAATTCTAATTGAAGACAGTCCGTTCAGGAAGTAAACTAAAATTACAATTCAATCATCGAAAAAATGACATTTATTTTCAATGACTTCGCAATAAATTGAAAAGTAGAAGCTATTTATTTCAAAAGGTTTTACATTTCTGAATGTAAAATTCAAATCACTTCCTGAATGGACTGCCTTCAATTTAAATTAGGCCCAACCCCTGATGGAAACGAATACTATACAGTCACACAGTCGCAGCCAGGGTTGACCGAGTCAGGGTGCGTCCCAAATGCCACACTATTCCCTCTTTTGTGCACTACTTTTGACCAGAGCCCATAAGTAGTCAACTAAATATGGAAAAGGGGGCTATTTTGGACGCAACCAGTGCCTTTCGTTGTCTTCTCATGAATGAAAAGGGGACTTGGGGTCATTTCCTGTTTGTTTGCTAGTAGTTATCTGTTGATAATGTTTTTAGTTGTGGAGGAAAAAGATGCTCTGTGTTTCTCAAATAGACATGTCCCTCAGATGTTACATGTTGAATAACAGCACACACACACACACACACACACACACACACACACACACACACACACATACACTCACACAAACACACACACAAACACACACTCACTCACTCACTCACTCACACACACACACACACACATGCACGAACACACACACACTCACACACACACAAACACACAAACACACATGCACGAACACACACACGAACACACACACAAACACACAAACACATACACACTCACTCACTCACACACACACACATACATGCACAAACACACACACACACACACACACAAACACACAAACACATACACATACACACTCACACACAAACACACACACACACACACACACACACACACACACACACACAAACACACAAACACACACACAAACACACACCCAATCACCATCAGCTGTAATCTACAACCATAGCTATTATTCACACCCACTCTCTCCTCTCTCGTTAATAATAATAATAATAATTCTCTCCTCTCTCTTTCTCTCTCCTCTCTCTCCTCTCTCTTTCTCTCTCCCCCTTCTCTTTCACCTCTCAGCCAGGAACTTCAATGTCAACAAATCAGAGGCCATGCTGAGAAAGGTAACCCTCCCAGTCTACCCCGCTCCTCTCCTATGTTATTTTAATTGAAACACGTAGCTATATGACTATTGTATATCTGTTGTATATTTTCATTGGTACCATTAGACTAGCCCTAGTGTGACCAATGGTTTGTCCAGCCAGTCTCACACAAGTCATCTGAAATAATGTGGGGGAAAGCCCATGGAAAATATCAGGGATTTGTGTCACTTAAAAGTGCTGCTTACAAAATGGCATTTAGCCTAATCCGTAACGTTCATCCGATTTAAACAATTCAGCCAAGCCCACTGTACCATTATGTCATGTGGTATTTGATATCCCTTTCATGCTGATGGGGGTATTTATGCAGGTATTAGTCACTCTGGCAGTCTAAACCTACTGATCCATTTAACTCACTATGCTCACTGTCCTCCTGACACACACAAACCTGTGTCTGTGTGAGCGTGTGTGTAAGAGAGAGGGACAGAGGAGGGGAGAGAAGGGTGCAAAGGACATGCCATTACATGTAAAAAACGATTTGGGCCACTCATGTTCTATCGTGTTTTATTTCAGCACCTTGACTTCAGGAAACACATGAAAGCAGACACAATCACCACAGAATGGCAGCCTCCAGAGGTACCAATCTCTTGTAACCCTCATTCAACTGACTTATTACCACATTCCTAAAATACCATGTAGGCCTAAATACTGAAATATTTGACTGTATAATAGTGCATTACCATGGTTTTAATATTGTGTTAACATGGTATTAATAGTGCGTTACCATGGTATTAATAGTGCGTTACCATGGTATTAATAGTGCGTTACCATGGTATTAATAGTGCGTTACCATTGTAATAATAGTGCGTTACCATGGTATTAATATTGCGTTACCATGGTATTAATAATGTGTTATCATGGCAATTGCAGTGTGTTACCATGGTATTTGTGTCCAGGTGATAGAGAAGTACCTGTCAGGTGGGATGTGTGGGTACGACCGTGAGGGAAGCCCCATCTGGTGGGATGTCATCGGCCCCGTGGACCCCAAGGGACTCTTCCTCTCAGCGTCTAAACAGGACTTCATCAAGTCTAAGATCAGAGACTGTGAGATTCTGCAGAAGGAGTGTGAGCTGCAGTCTGAGCGGGTATGAGAGGGTTTCATTCATATGTGGAGGGCCTGGAGTTGTTCCTGAACATACAGTATGCCCTGATCAGGACAAACTCCTGGCACTAACCTTACTGAGATTAGATACAAACTCCTGGCACTAACCTTACTGAGATTAGATACAAACTCCTGGCACTAACCTTACTGAGATTAGATACCACTAATGAAGTGTTCCTGTCTAGAATCTTTGTCATCCAGATATGAGATGATTTGATTTGAGATGATACTTTGATACTCTCTCCATTGCGCTCTCTTTCAATCTCTCTTTCTCTCTCTCTCCTCTCTCTCCTTCCATCTTTCTCTCTCTTCATTTGTCTATGTCTCTCTCTCTCTCTCTCTCTCTCTCTCTCTCTCTCCTTCCATCTCTCTCTCTCTCTTCCTTTGTCTATGTCTCTCTCTCTCTCTCTCCTTCCATCTCTCTCTCTCTCCTTTGTCTATGTCTCTCTCTCTCTCTCCTTTCATCTCTCTCTCTCTCCTTTGTCTATGTCTCTCTCTCTCTCTCTCCTTCCATCTCTCTCTCTCCGTTGTCTATGTTTCTCTCTCTGCTGTAGTTGGGGAGACATGTAGAAGCCATCACTATGATCTATGACTGTGATGGTCTGGGTCTCAAACATTTGTGGAAGCCTGCCATCGAGACTTACGGAGAGGTACACGCACGCACGCACGCACACACACACACACACACACACACACACACACACACACACACACACACACACACACACACACACACACACACACACACACACACACACACACACACACACACACACACACTGTTCTGCTGAATCCAGAGTGGGAATGTGATGTGATGATACTGTGTGATCATTGTGTTGTTGTTGTACCTCTACAGATCCTGACCATGTTTGAAGACAACTACCCAGAGGGCCTCAAGAGACTGTTTGTCATCAAAGGTAAGTTTCATCACCACTAGCACAGGGGTTTTCAAACCTCTCCTCGGGGACCCCCAGCCGTTCCAGGTATTTGAACTATTTCTAGAGCTGGCATACCTGAATCAACTTGTCAACTAATCATCAAGCCCTTGATTATGTGACTCGGGTGAGAAAGTTCAGGGCTACAACAAAATTCTGAAACGTCTTAGTATCACTGTGGTAAACCTACCTGTGTTGTGTGTCTCACATCTCTTAAACCTGTATTAGACACCAGTGTATCGCACCATACTGTCGTTTACATGGCCTTTTCTCTTCTCCACCTCTCCTCAGCCCCCAAGCTCTTCCCTGTGGCTTACAACCTCATCAAGCACTTCCTGAGTGAGATCACCCGCAACAAGATCATCATCCTGGGGGGTGAGACACTTCCTTATCGGAATGTTTCCATAAATATATACTGTTCTAGAATGCTGAGTATAGAATTGTCAGCTCTATCTATTACATTTCTATTAGCAACACTCCATAGGTTGTGAATACATACAGTATGTACAGTGCTATGAAAAAGTATTTTCCCCCTTTCTAATTTTCTCTACTTTTGCATATTTGTGATACTGAATGTTATCAGATCTTCAACCAAAACCTAATATTATATATATAAAGTATAATTGAGATGTTGTGGCAGGACTTGAAACGAGCAATTCATGCTTGAAAAACCACACGTCACTGAGTTAAAGCAGTTCTGCATGGAAGAGTGGGCCAAAATTCCTCCACAGCGACGGGAGAGACTGATCAACAACTACAGGAAGCATTTGGTTGTAGTCATTGCAGCTAAAGGTGGCACAACCAGTTATTGAGTGTAAGGGGGCAATTACTTTTTCACACAGGGGAATTGGGTGTTGCATAACTTTGTTTATGAAATAAATATGTCATTGTTGTGTTATTTGTTCACTTATGTTCCCTTTATCTAATATTAGGTTTTGGTTGAAGATCTGATAACATTCAGTATCACAAATATGCAAAAGTAGAGAAAATTAGAAAGGGGGCAAATACGTTTTCATAGCACTGTATATGGTTGCAGCGTCCTGAACTCTACCCAGCTTAACCCTACATGTAGATGAAGGTTATGAATGTACTAACTGTTAGCCTCTCTGGATAAGCTTCTGCTAAATGACTGAAATGTAAAATGGTAACATCATTCTCTCTCTCTCTCCTCACCCGTGTGTTGTGCAGCCAACTGGCAGGAGGTGTTGATGAACTACATAGACCCGGAGCAGCTTCCTGCCGCGTACGGAGGGAAACTCACCGACCCTGACGGGGACCCTCGCTGTAGGAACAAGGTGAGCTCACACCACCAGGAAGTGGGACGCTTTTTTAATGAGGGGGTCATGACCCCCGTTCTCATGTTGCCACAGCTGAAATGATAGGCTGGAGAGTTCAATGCTGTACTCATTGCTGCTCTTAAGTCGTTTTTTTTGCGCTTTTTGTTTTTCGTACATGGCGACTACATTTCTGACTAGCAGTTTCAGCATTTAGTAGTTTCTCCACACCTGCCTTAGTAGGAAGGACTCCAAATGCAGCATACTAGACACCAGGCGGTGAGATGAGAGCAGCTTTGCTTTGCTGCCTGTGACCGACCACAAGATGCAGGAGGTAGGACTACTGTTCCTAAGCAACATGCTGCTGCCAGTGGGGCTAGATGAGGAGTCTCTGCCGGACAGTTGAACTCCTTATGGGTGATCCGATGAGATTGTGGACTGTACAGCATCAAGAAACGATTTACAACCAGCCTTGACAGGCTCTTAATTCCTTCTGGTCACTGAGATGTTAAAAGAGCTCCAGATGGTTTCCTCCTGGTCTGCTTCAACAGGTATAGTCCGATGGTGATTAGGTATTTCTGTTAGACAATGTCGCTATCGTGGATCTCCTTCTTCTTGCTCTACAGTTCAGTCCTGCCTTTTCACCTAGGACCTCGCTGCTGGCCACCACCCCCAATGGCCCTCTAGTCATCTTCATGCCAATAGATGCAGTTGTTAGTCTGGTCTAGATGCAGGCTTGGGCAGACACATGCTGACTGATAAATTGGTAATTTCATTACCCAGAAAAACGTATATTTTGTCTGATGTCTCTGTAGATACATAGGTAGAGATGTCTTCCTGACCAGAGATGGGGAGCAAGAGGAGGACAAGTCTTTGTCATCCCAAATGAGGCCCAGGAAAATCTCATAGAACTCTTGGAATCTTTGAGTATTTTTGGAATGACTTTGGAATCTTCAGGAAGACTCTAAAGACTGACACTCTCTACTTCCATTCCATTTTTACTCAGCTGAGTCATTTACCCATTTTCAACATGTGAACAGGAATTTAGTTTGCTTTTTTATCATTGGTAGCTAGCTGGTCCCTGGCTTTCTGGCTATCCCATTACTTTATTTGTAGTGTTTAGGTCAGGTACTCGGAGGAGCATTTCTTACTTGTTGACCTCTCTGTGAACGGGAAGAACTGATGCTCAGTCCAAAGAGAGGCATGTAAAGACATGACAAAACAAATCAAATGTATTTGATGAGATCTTTGGTCTGAACTAGGTCAACGCCTTGTTGGCCTAGTTCAGACCAAAGTCTCATCAGATATATTTTATTAGTATTATCATGTCAAGGGTCAAAACGTCCACAGGTTCTAGTAGTTCTACATTCTATGTGTAGAATGTTGCAACTTCTGCTGTGACAGTGAGACCGCTGGAAGGTTATGCAGACATCTATCACCTATTTACTGTAGAGAGAGATTAGATTAGGGGGTCTGTGTGTACAGTACAGTACAGTACAGTAAAGGCAGATTATGCAACAGTCAGTCAAAGTTGAAGGTCATTTTTAACACGTTTACCGTTGGCAGTGGCACAAATGCGTTTGGGCCCGTTTGTGTCTGAACACGTGCTCAGTAGTGATGTGCGCGGGGTCAGCAGTTTGTTCACCCGCAATTGCTAATAACCCATCCGCAACCGCACGATTATATTTGATAAAGTGAAAATCTGAGGCCCGCACCCGACCCTAAAACACAAATATAGAAAATGAGCTGTACAGGCAGAGATGGCGGAACGGTTGTTTGACATGCCTTTTTAGATAGGCAGCTTCTCTTCTGTCATTACACTGTATGTTGCCCTAGAAAGACTAAATAAACCCTTGCTCATCAGAATAATAACATACATCAATAGAATGAATGTTTCAATATAGTTGACATTGGTAAAGTTTGTTTTTTCCTTCCTAAAATGAGGACAGTCGGTGTGGTCAATTATTTTTGCTGTTCTTGTTTTTATGCAAATAAATAAACAATGGACCTCAGAAGCGTATACTCTGGACTCTTATTTCGAAACTATGAAACCTCAGAAACATATTCATAGTAGTAAGTAAGGCTTTCTTTTTTTATTTCCTTAGAAGTTCTGGCCCTCAAACTTTGTTTTCTTCTTTTCTTCTTCCCCTAACATTTTCCTGTTGACTTTCAGAGCATTTTATCAGATAGCCCCACACCATCCATCCTCAAACTCTGGGTATAAATGTGTTCCAGATCCACTATGCAGGGCCGGTGCCTGCTTCCTACTACGTCAGGAGTCGTGGGTATAAATGTGTGATCTCA